GGGGGGGGGGGGGTGGAACGCACGTCAGTTCTCCATGCTGTCCTCACTGAGGCATCCAGACCCATCCTGAGCGGAGTCTGTGGTCCAAGCACTGGGTAAGACCTCCAATGGGACGGTCCCCCCATCCTGGAGGGCGACTGGTTATAGGAAACATACGTTCTGGGGGAGGTGGGGGACGGCTTTCAAAATCAGCCAGACTTAGATTCAAATCCTAATTCTGAGACCTGCTCATTATGTGACTTTAGGCCTCCCCGGGCCTCAGCCCCTCCTAAACAGAAACACGGAAGTCTACCCTGTAACCCCTGGGTAGGCTGGGGCTTCCCTCGGCGTGTTTCTTCCTGGCTAGTTCCCAGCAGGTGACACGGTTACTTCATCAGTTAAGACTGATGAAGCACCTTGGCTCCCACGTTGGACACGGAAATGGGATTTCCCTCTACTGTTGGTTTTACCACGTGCATCTGCACTTGATGGACACACGATCGTTCTCGTGCAGCACAGAAATTAGCACTAAGTGGCAACCGGTGCATTGAAAAGTTGCAGCCGCTACTCTAAAGCAGAAAACCGAGCCGTGTTTGGAGTGAGTGGGGGGTAGGGCATCGGAAAGGACGCAACAAGGCCGGAGAGCATCCTCAGGGCTGCTGAAAGAAAACATCTTCCACTCCTGACCCAGAGTCATCCAGGAGGGCAAGTACGCCTGCCACCAGGCAGGAGCCTGACAGTGGGTCTCAGGATGGGGCGAGTGCGACGTGCCCCACAGAACGCCACCTCTGACCGCTGTTCACCTCTCAACACTAACACTGGACCTTAGCATTACCAGGCACGTTTGCTAGGTGCTTTGTCCACATCAGCTCAATTAACGTAACAACCTCTGATGTAGAAAACACCAAGTCGCCACCTGTGGTCCTTATGCTAATAATGGCAGAGCCAGGATTCGAACCCAGACCGGAGTCAGAAACCCTCACTTTCTGGTCAAGACCCTGCCCTTGCAGAGGGACTGGGAAGGGGTGCCTGGAGAGACAGGGAGACAATGAACATGGATGAACGTGACCGTGGCCCTGCTCCTCCTCAGAGCCCAGGGAGACGGCACACTCAGTACACGATCCTATCACCCGTGTGTATTCAAGGCAACAGGGACTGACCTCTAACCCCAACCCCAGAAAGGCAAGTCTGTTCCCACAGATGCTATTGCAATCCTTCATCAAGCTCAAGTGACGCCCCAGGAGCTTCACACAAGAGCAGCAGACTCCCCGACAACCTTAGACGGCCTGGGCACGTTCGCTTCATCCAGCCCAGAGCGCCACTACTTACCGGCTTCCTGGTACTGCTGGTAGGCCGGGTCACTCTCTGCTGTAAAGACCCCGATGATGATGACATCGTCCCCGTCCTTCAGGAACTCCTGCACCTGCTTCAGAGCCACGATCGCCTTGGAGGGCGGCCCCGACTGCTCGATCATGTAGTCCACGATCCCTGGGAGCCGAGCACATGCCTGAGGAGGGGCGAGGGGCTCCGAGGCACTCCACCCACGGCTCTCCCCACCCCCCTACGTCCCCCAGGACGCCCCCCTCCCCGCTGAGGGAACACCAGGAGGCAAGCCTACCATATTTTTCCCGTGGGCCGTTGTAATCAAAGGGTTTTCCCTTGCGGAAGATTTTCAGGGTGGGATAGCTAGAGACGTCGAACCTCTTAGCCAGGTCTGTTTCGGCAGTGGCATCGACCTTGGCCAGGGGGATCGGGGGGGAGCGCTGGCTCAGCTCCTTGGCCGCTTTCTCGTACTCGGGGGCCAGTTTCTTGCAGTGTCCACACCTGTAAGAAGCGGCCATTGTCAGGAGCCTGTTCCAGCACGAACACAGCCTCCCATCCAAGCGAGACACAGAGGCCCGGCCCTCGAACAGCTCCGTTAGACCCTGCAAACCTCTGAACGTCTCCTCGGGGAGGGTGTGGAGCCGGGCCACTCCGGAGGCCAGCGTGACAACACAGGTGCCACTCACACAGGGTGCACACAACACACACACACAAACAGGAGGGGGGGGGTGGGTAAGACATGTGAAAGGCGAAGAAAAACAATGATTTTTCTCCATTGCAGTTGGGACAGGGAAGGACACAGGTCAGGGATGGCTCCATACAGGAGGTGACAGTTGATCTGGGACAAGAGAGACAGGTAGGAAGCAGATGTGAGTTGGTCAAAGGTGGGTGAGGGGAGGACAGACCGAAATAACCACATAACAAAAGCACAAGGATGAACAGTAACCAACCCTCACAGACGCCACCCAGCAGGGCAGCAGAGGGTGGGCCTGAGGACTCTGTACCAAGAACCGACGGCTCACACGGGGGCAAAGACCTCGCAAGTCACAGGCTCTGCGTAGTGAGCTGAACAAAGCACTGCCTTGTCAGGGTCCCCGGGACGCCTCGGGGCTGCACCCTACAGCAAGTGAACTGTCTGCAGCTACAAGGGAACTGTTCTCCGTGGGGTCAGAAACCAGGTGAACCTGCTCTCTGAGCATTTACTGAGCCTGTGAAGTCAACGGGCAGCTGAGCCCAGCCCCCGGCAACTAGAACTTAGGATCCGTAACCCGTCGTGAGACGTAACCTCACAGCCGTCTCTCCTCCAGCACCGGCACCACCTCCTGGGTCCCCTTTGTGCCGAAAACCTCACAAGAGGGGCCACGGCCACTCTGCTCTCCATGTGCCCCAGGCCTTCCTTCCTCCTCCCACCACCCCGTCTTCCCTCCGCACGTGCACACCCCGTGAGACCAAGTGCAGTGACTTCTGCTGCAGAATCCAGAGCCTGGGGTCACTGTCGTCTGCCCCACGGTCACATTCCTGACTCTGGTCTACACCGCACACCCTGACAAAGCAAGCCTGCTCCAGAATCAGAACCGCTAGCTGCCCCATGATGAATGCGCCAAGGTGAACTGCGAAGGCTGACCATCCTCCTGGACCCCTGGCCTCGACGCTCACACCTCCCTTGAAGACGGTCCACTTTGCTTTGCTCTGTCTTCTCCGGCTGCCCACACCTCCGTGCTCTCCTCAGGAAGCACAAGAATCACATACAGCACCTCCACCAGCCACTCTCCGACTGCCTTTCTTTCTGGCATCTTCTTTCCCATGTCCGGGTCCCCTCCCCTGAATGATCCCTGCCCCCACATTCTGATCCTTTCTGCTCTCCTCTCGAGTTCTGTCATCGCCTACAATCTGGGGGCCAGAACTGGCCACGTCACCTGCGTATGCTGGGGTCACGCAGGCCACACCCCTCCTCAACTCTAAGGGACTGGCCCACTTCCTCCGCAGAGCTGGGGATTCCAGTTCTCGGACAGGGAGCGGGCTTCGATCCCAACCCACGTGCTAGGGCCACAGCCCCCAGACAAGAGCTCCTCAGGCGCCCCCGGCCAGGTTCTGCTGTTTCTCTCCTACAAAAGCTGAAGCCCTGAGGCCGGGGGGTTGGGCAGGGGGCCCGGTGGCATCGAGAGGCCAGGGTTGTGATGGACGAGAGGAGAGGAGGCAGGACAAGTGGAGAAGGCAGGAGGGCCGCGGGACCCTTGAGGCTCCGACCGGAGAAGGGGACACATCTGGAGCATGAAGCGAGGCTGAGGGTCATCTTCGAAGATCTGTTCCAGAACAAACAGCCACGAGTGGAGACGAAGACAGATAAAACCATGGTTCGAACCCCTCAGGAGGCAGCAAGGCAGGAAAAGGCGGCCCGAGGCCACCAGCTGCCACCACCCCGCCCACCGCGGTGGCAGCTCCGCTCAGTCCTCCTCATCACAGCTGGATGAACTTCCGTGAACAGCATTTCCACACCTGCTACAGCCGTGTCCCCTCACACTGCCCCCCAGGGCCACGGCCGTCCCAGCGCCTTCGTGCGTGTTTCCTCAGGGACACACGCTCGGCACATCGCTGGGCAGGGCAGGTGCGTGATGACAGATGGACCCAGCAGGCGCAGGCCTGGCGCATGAGGGAACATGGACCGCCTCATGGCCCCAAACACAGGCTCCACTCTCCTCTGTGCTACAGGCCTGTGTCTACCTCGTCCTGTCATCTGGGAAAAGACCACCGCTCTCTGGAGGACTCAGCAGTCAGTTCAGCCTTCACGCATGGCTGGGCGGAGGGGGAGGACCGTGGCAGGACCCCGTTCTGCTTCACACGCAGGCGTCTGTCTCTGACGCCCTCTACCCAGGGGCTATGGGGGAACCGAACGCGGGACAGGGCTCATCGTACCCGAGTAACATGGGACAGACGGCATCTTACCAGGGGGCATAGAACTCCACCAGAATGATGTCTGCATCGTTCACCACTTCATCGAAGTTATCCTTGGTCAGCACAAGCGTGACTTCTGGTGGGGGCGTCCAGTTGGGCTGGGAGATCTCTTTGACCTTGGCCACAATTTCTGAAAGAAACCACACAAGACTGAGCACGGGCAGACCTCACCGCAGAGGCAGGCGGGGAGGCGCCGACAGACAAGTGGCAGGGCCTCGAGGAGAACGAGAAACGTCTGATTTCCCCAAATCCACTGGCAGCTCTCGCCAGCGCCGCTCCGCAGTTTGAGGCCACAGTTCAGGGTCGAAGGTCCATGGTTTCCACCAAACCCCCTCCTGCCCTTTTTCCATCCCCTGGTGACTTCTCCGACAGCCCAACGCCAGCTGGCGAGTGAGACCCTGTTCTTGCCCCACTGTGGTGCTCACCGCAGGCCAACAGAGGGGGTCTCCCAATGTCTGACCACACGTGCCTCGGAGTAGCCTCGAGGGCGTCCCCTTCTCAGGTACAAAGCCACGCGCGTTTCGTCATGTTACATCCGGCACGCGTCCCGACACGTCCGCAAAAATCAAGGAAAAGGAGGAGGAGCAGCCCCTCCCCCTGCTGCCCAGGCCGCGTCGGCGTCACCTCGGAAGGCGTTACAGACAGGCCCGGTCGTGGCCCCGCTCCCCAGAGATGGAGTCAGCGACATGAATGGGACACAGAACGGACTCTCACAAGGCACCTTCCAAGTGGCTCTTAGGAGCAGTGCGGGCACACTTTACATTCTTCCTTTTTTCTTTTGCTCTGCACTCACCAAGGCGCCGGATCTGAGAGCCACTCCCGCAAAGCAGGAGCCTTCAGACAGAAGTAAGCACAGCAGCAGACGCACGGCATGTCCACAGCGTGAACCCCCGCGCCACCATCATCGGGGAGGCCCATGTACTAAAACGCACTTGGAGGCCACACTGCTCTCAAGATTCCAAACTGGCCACACCGCTAGGGATCAAATGTTGATGAGCCTGTTTAAATTTTTACTTTATCTATTTTGAGAGAGTAAACGTGTGGGCATGCTCATGGGGCGGGGCGGAGAGCAGAGGGAGGGAGAGAAAATCCCAAGCAGGCCCCACGCTGTCAGCAGAGCCCAACTCGGGGCTCAAACTCACGAACCAGGAGATCATGACCTGAGCTGAAACCAAGAGTCAGACGCTTAACCAACTGAGCCACCCAGGCGCCCCAAGCCTGTTTACTTTTAAACGAGAAGTACACGGCTTTCAGCCTGTCCTTCCATGAAGTTCCTCTATGTGCTGACATGGGTAAGATGTTATTTGTTAGATAAGACATGAATGTGCACATGATATGCTGACAAGTGTGTGAAAATCACACACACACACACACACACTTGTTCTTACGGGTACACAGTAGCTCTGAAGGACACAAGAGAAACGTGTTACACTAGCCACCTTCCTGGAAGGGAGCCAGATAGCCAGGCTCAGGGAGGAAAGACTATCCCTGATGTACCTCCTTGAGTTCTGAACCACGCAAACGTATTTCTGGTAAGTTCTCAGACAGATACAATATGAAAGTAAGTACTGATGGATGTGAGGTCTTCTTCGTGCACCTACGATGGGCTCCAGTGCTTAGAGGATCACAGGACTGACCCTCACACCAGCTCAAAGAGAATTCAGATCAGACCCAAGTGACCTCCCGTTCCTCGGACGAGGAACTTGAGACCTGGCAAGGAGAAGACACTTGTCCGGGACCAGTGCTATGTCACGACTGTAAGACCCAAACCTTAGTCAGTGCCATACCACACCAGGAAAGGAAAACGTAACATAATTTTTTTTTTTCTAGTGATTAAGAGATATGGTGAAGAGGGGCACCTGGGTGGCTCAGTTGGTTAGTTCTCCAACTTCCGCTCAGGTCATGATCTTGCAGTTTGTGAGTTCGAGCCCTGCATCAGGTTCTGTGCTGATAGCTTCGAGCCTGGAGCCTGGAGCCTGCTTTGGATTCTGTGTCTCCCCCTGTATCTGCCCCTCTCCCCTGCTCACGCTCTCTCTCAGAAATAAACCATTAAAAAAAAAAAAAAGATACGGTGAAGATACCACAACTTGATTTGTTCATTCGTTAAAAAAAGAATTTAGCTTGTGCCTGATGTCAGTCAGGCAGGGATCCCTCGGGTTTGGTTTTGGAAGAACCACCTGGCTCCCAGTGCCTGTAGTTCCTAATATGGGGTTCTGGACCCACAGCCTCAGTAAGCCCGGGGAGCCTATAAGGAATGCACATCATCGCGCCTGACCTGAAGCGCAGTGAACTGGAAGGCTGGGGATGGGGCTCAGCACGGGCTGCGGGAGCCCACCAGCTGAGTCTGACGGAAGCTCTACAGCACCGCCGAGAACCTGGCCTCGGGCAGCAAGTGACACACAGCCTCCAGGTCTGGAGTTTCATGGTCTGAAACGGGAAGAGACCCCTGCCACCCTAGGACAAGTTTATTTTCATCTCAGTTACCTGGAACATTACAGCAGGGACCACTCCCAGCCCACACAACTGGTCTTCCTCTCTATTACCCAAACTCCCCCTCTCTCAGCTTTCCTGTGGGAAGACAGTCCCGGCCTCACCTCCCCCTGCAGCTCAGGCTCCACTCACCTTCCTGGGTCCGGGAGCCCTCGTAGTCCACAGCCTGCCCCTTCTTAAGGACCTTGATGGTGGGGTAGCCACTCACGCCAAACCTGCCGGCCAGCGCCGACTCCGAGGTCGCGTCAATCTTGGCCACAGGAATGGGAGGGTCGTTCTCCTTCAAGGCACTGGCGATTTTTTCATATTCTGGAGCAAACTGCTTGCAATGTCCACACCTGAGAAAGAGATTTAGGGAAAGAGAAGCAGGTTAGCTGTACCCACGGAGACTTATACCCAGCAATGCACACAAACGCCGGGGCACCGGGACCAGAATGGTCACAGTCAAGAGAGACAGACACAAGTAACACAACGAGGAAGCCACGGTGGCTGGAGTCAGACAGACGTAGGCCAGAGTTCCCGCTCCGGGCTGGACACACACTCCCAACACCTCCAAACCCCAGTGCTTTCACCTGTAAGCTTCTCAAAGTCCATCAAGGGACCCCTTGTGAGGGGTCTATGAGGTTAAAAACTCTTTACCAGGGGCGCCTGGGTGGCTCAGTCGGTTAAGCGTCCGACTTCAGCTCAGGTCATGATCTCACGGTCTGTGAGTTCAAGCCCTGCATCGGGCTCTGTGCTGACAGCTCGGAGCCTGGAGCCTGCTTCGGATTCTGTGTCTCTCTCTCTATCTCTGCCCCTCCCCTGTTCATGCTCTGTCTCTCTCTGTCTCAAAAATACATAAAAACATTAAAAAAAAAAAAACCAAAACTCTTTACCAAAGACCCTTCTGGTTGTCTTCGTGCATTCCCTCAGAGCACACAGTGGAGTTTTCCAGAGGCTACATGACAGATCACAACGTCCGCATAGTGATGTTAACACGTAAGGGTTATTATTAAAGATGAATTAGTATTGAAATTTCTCTGTTTTAATGTTCAATATGGTACATACTGATTGCCATAATCCACATAGAAAGCTGTCTGGAGGGCACCTGGCTGGCTCAGTCAGTGGAGCGTGTGACTCTTGATCTTGAGGTTAGGAGTTCAAGCCCCATGTTGGACACAGGGCCTTTAAAAAAAATAAATTAGCTTTCTGTGCCCTTAGCATTCTTGCAGCCATGGTGAACGTTCCTAAAACCCGCCGGACTTTCCACAAGACATGTGGCAAGCGCCAACCCCACAAAGTGACACGGTACAAGAAGGCAAAGATTCTCCTTACACCCGGGGAAAGCGACATTATGACAGGAAGCAGAGTGGCTATGGTGGGCACACACAGCTGATTTTCCAGAAAAAAGGCTAAAACTACAAAGAGGATTGTGCTGAGGCCTGAATGTGTTGAGCCCAACTGCAGATCTAAGAGAATGCCAGCTATTAAGAGACGCAAGCATTTTGAACTGGGAGGAGATAAGAAGAGAAAGGGCCAAGTGACCCAGTTCTAAGCTTCTTCTTTTGTTACGTTATGAAGACAACAAAATCCTGAGGTTACGTTCACTTCAAAAAAATAATAACAATTAATTAACTCCTTAAAAAGCTATTTGGAGTCACAAGCAAAAAGTGAGAAGTGGTGATCTATTATTACCGTTAGTAATAATATGACCTCACGAACCTGTTGTAAGGACTACTTAGTTACCTTGTACGGAACACCTCTCACTTGAACATCAAACGCGGGACCAACCACGTGAGTATATCTTAACTATCTTGTCTCAAAAGTGAACCAAGGAGGGCAGAGGAAAGAGGACAAGAAGGAACAGAGGCCAGCAGGAGAGGGGAGGAGGAAGGGACACAGAGCTGTTAACACTGCACACAGTGTGGGGTGGGGGGGGAGGGAGGACAGAACAAGCGGGGCCCGGGGACTGTGCGCCCTTCCACACCGGAAACCACCATGGGGCCAGGCTTGCACTCGGGCAGCACGTGGTGGGAGCAGGGAGGTGGGGTGGCCTTGACACAGGTCAGGGTAGAATCTCTAACAAGGGACGTCTGTCGCCAACGCAGGTGTCCGTGGCGGCACAGCTTGTTAAACGTGCCCACGCCCCGGCCGTGGCTATCAGAGGTCACGTTCACATTCTGAACTGCTAAGGACCGCGTTCCACGAGGGCCGGCTCCCTGGACGCGGGGTTCCTGGCGTTCCTGCACCCGGACACTCCCACCCTGCCGGGGTCTGGATGCCCGTGAGGCACCAAGCATGACAGCCCAGAGGAACCCCTCGTCCAGGCTGGCGGAGCGAGGAGGATGCGGGTCCTTACCATGGAGCATAAAACTCCAGCAGCACTGTGTCTTTGTCAGCCACAAAGTTATCAAAGTTTGCGTCGTTCAGGATCAGGACCCCATTTTCTTCCTTCACTTCCAAGTCGTCTTCCTCCTCATCGTCGTCATCGTCCTCCTCCTCCTCTTCATCCTCAATGGCATCTTCCTTATTAGAAGAATCTGAGCAGAAAATACCCACAATGTTGGGAAACTGGGGACTCTCCTCCTTAAAAACTTTCCTAGCACCCCAAGCCCTCAAAGTGTGGCATGAGTCCTGAGTGGCCCCTGAGGACCACCACGAGCCGGGGTGGTGACATCAGGCCTCCCCCACCCCAGAAATTCAGGGTAGAACCTGTAACAAGGAATGTATCTGTCGCCAACGCGGGTCTCCGTGGCGGCTCAGCTTGTTACACATGCCCACGCCCCGGCCGTGGCTATCAGAGGACACGTTCACATTCTGAACTGCTAAGGACCGCATTCCACGGAATTCCGCTCCCGGTCTGTACACTGGGGAGCCACTTAGGATTTCACTTCAAGGGAGGTCCCGGTTAAAGGGTTTGAAAACCACAGGTCTAGAATTTAAAGGCTCAACGCCCCAGCGAGGCTTGAGGGTAGGACGAGCAGCCTGTGCAGGCGCAGCCCCACACCCTGCAGCCTAGCTCCACGTGCCCCCTGCCCAGCCTGGGGGAACCCTCACCGTCAGCGCCTCCCCCTGCACTGGGATCTGATCCGCTCCTCAGCACCACCCCTCTGCGGGCTTTCCAGGCCTCGCCCCTGTAGCAAAGCTCCTTTATCCACATCCCACGCTTTACTTTTTAGGGCACCTCATTCTCTGGTTACCCCATGTTTGTGCTCCAGGGCAAGGCCAACTTTCAACGACATCTTCTTCCTCACTGACTACGCTTCCCACAAGTAGGGCCTCACTCAATCTCCCGTAACAAACAGGTGCCGGGCCCCCCAGACAGCACCACGCTTTTCGCTCTGGAGGATGGACTACTGACCAATTCCAGTTCTCTAACTAACCCCAGTGATCTCCAGGGTGGGAGCTCTCCCATGAAGAATTGTGAAGATTTACAGGGTCAACACGCGTCAAAAATACACAACAAACCACACCTTCATGGGATGCCTTGCCCGGAAGCAAAGCTCTCTTCCCAGAACACGAGAATCTGGGAGTTTAGCTCACTACCCAGGAATACAGGAATCTTCCACCAAACTACACGTACGGGGCACCATGAGCTGTTGTTAACCAGGATCCCCGGCTGCTGTCGCATCGGCAGACAGAGGTGCAGCAAGTACCAGAACGGCAGCAACCCCGGAGCCAGGTCATGGCCAGGGGCCCGTTCTTCCTTCCAGAGGGGCTCCCCGGGAGACAGAGCAGCCCCGGTGGTTCTGTGTTTGGGGCTCAGGGTGAAGTCAGCCTCGGGATTCTGGAACCTCCGGGACTCGCCCCGGCTCAGCCCTGCCCCTGACTAGTCCAGGGCTGGCTCCGCGGCTGCCGGGACGAGCCAGGGGATGGGTCCGGGTGGCCTGGCAGCTTTGCCCGTTTCTGTGAAAATCTACCAATCGGCAAACTAATTATAAAAAACCCTCAATCCTCAACCGCGTCCCTTCACGCATCCTGCTGCTTTTTCCTGGCTTCCACGTCTCTCTCCAGCTTACGGTGTAAGATTTCCTCCTTTGTGGGGGGGAGGAAGAATGGCCTCTAAAATCCCAAAAGAAAAGCCACCGATTTGACAAGTACGAACCGAGCAGACTCTCCTTTCCTGGGACTGGTGCCCCCCAACCCTGCCCCCAGGGTCATCGCCGTCTGACGTGTGCTCTTTCCCTGGTCTCCCTCCTCCGCAGCAGGAGCTGCAGAGGACGGGCGTGCAGAGGCCCCGGGCCCCCAGCACTGTCACCGGGCTTCCTGGATGTGGAGGAAGGCGGGACCTGGGGGAAGACAAAGCGGGCTCGGGCCCCATCTCCACCTCTTAGGCTGGCAGCCTAAACCGAATCCCCTCCCCTGGTCACTGGCAGGCAACACCATACACCCAGGTCTTCTGTCAATCTGAGAACCTAAGGCTCTTGGGAACCTGAGTTTAAAACCGGCTGGCGAGGGCTCCCCCAGGTTCTTCTGGAAATACCACCCACCCCAAGCCCGCAAGGCAAGAACTCAGTACTGAGCTTTCCTGTTATGGCCTGTGGGACAGCAGCTCCGTTGGCTCTCCAGAAGGTCAATCTGCCCACCCTTCGCTTTAAAGTCCTACCCACGATGACCTGTGTAATGGCTGCGCACTTGAGGGCTTGACACGGGAATGTTCTGCAGGTTCTCTGCTTCAAGTCAGGGCTACGAGGCACCCCACGCCCTGCCTCCAGAGGCTCGCATGGGCTGGACAGCCTGCTGACAGCAGTGAGGAAGGGCCTGTGGGCCAAGCAGACCCACGCTCACTGCCTGAATGCCCTGCACATTCGAGAATCAGATTAACTTGCAAGCAAATGGAAAAGACTGGAGGCCGGCTGAAAGAAAGCACCGGGAAACTTAATCTGCGCTTTAAGCTAGGAAATACAGCGGGGGAGGAGGAAGCACTTGGCGATCCACTCAGAGCATGGGGATAAGGTGAATTTTACAAAAAGAAAAAACAAAGATGCCTTCTCACCTATGCTCAGCCTGATCGGGTCTGTGAGCACAACTAGTGAGTTTCAGGGCTCTCTTGATTAAGTGGGTTTCCCTGAGCTACCACAGGACAGAGTTCCTTAAGAGTGAACTCATTTCGGGGTGCCTGCTAGCTGAGTCAATTAAGCATCTGACTTTTGGTTTCGGCTCAGGTCACGATCTCACTGTTCATGAGTTCGAGCCCCGAACTGGAATCCTTGCAGAATCCACGCTGACAGTGTGTAGCCTGCTTGGGATTCTCTCTCTCTCTCTGCCCCTCCCCTGCTCATGCTCACTCACATGCTCTCTCTCAAAATAAATAAATTAAAAAAAAAAAAAAAAAAACTTAAAAAAAGTGAACTCATTTCTTGATACTTGGAAAAAAAAGGTTTTTTTGGTTTAAATGACAACAAACAAAACGACAGGCATTCCCTACGTAATTAAAGACTCTCAAATGCGTTAAGTCATGCCCCTACCTTTCCATCCCTTCCCAGCTTGCAGATAACCCCAGGACTGGACGCACTACAATCTGAGCAGGCAATGGCTCTATATTCCTACGTACTAGGAGCCCACCCACTCCTGCAAGGAAAACACCCCACATTAAAAAAAAAATTTTTTTTAATATTTATATTTGAGAGAGAGAGAGGGAGACACATACACACACACAGAGCGTGAGGACAGGAGGGGTAGAGAGAGAGGGAGACACCAAATCCGAAGCAGGCTCCAGGCTCTGAGCTGTCAGCACAGAGCATTATATGGGGCTCAAACCCACGAACCGTGAGATCGTGACCTGAGCTGAAGTTGGATGCTTAACTGACTGAGCCACCCAGGCGCCCCAAAAACATCCCATATTTTAATGGGCAGGCCGTTTTTTCACTGGGCTTCACTTTTAAGACTGGGACATTCTAGGATAGAAAATACATCCACCTCTTTGTGTAAGTGGCCTCAGATGATCTCTGAAATGGTTCACTACTCACTTGACCCGGAAAACCCGACAAAGTCATGCAAATCAAGAGGTTCAAATCTTCGTGTTCACTTTAAGAATACACGGGAAACTGCCCAGGCCATCAAGGGCATGCATATCCGAAAAGCCACCAAGCATGTGAAACATGTCACTTTGCAGAAGCAATGTGTGCCATTCCCACACTACAATGGTGGGGTTGGTAGGTGTGCCCAGGCCAAACAGTGGGGCTGGACACAGGGTCGGTGGCCCAAGAAGAGTGTTGAATTTCTACTGCACATGCTTAAAAAGGCAGAGACTAATGCTGAACTTAAGGGTTTAGATGTAGATTGTCTGGTCATTGAGCACATCCAGGTGAACAGAGCCCCCAAGATGTGGCAAAGAACTTACAGGGCTCATGGTCAGACTGACCCATACCTGAGCTCTCCCTGCCACATTGAGATGAGCCCCCACGGAAAAAGAGCAGACTGCTCCTACACCAGGAGAGGAAGTTGCACAGAAGAAAAAGATATCCCAGAAGAAACAGAAGAAACAAAAACTTATGGCCCGGGAGTAAATTCTGCACAAAGCACAGGCAAATAAAAGTAAAATCAGAAAAAAAAAAAAGAAAAAAGAAAAAAGAAAAAATCCAAAGCCTTCCAGAATCTTCTGGATGGATGCCATTCTCTTTAGCATGAGGCCAATGAAGCCCCTCACACCACCTCCACAATGCTCAGCCTACATGGTAAGACCACTCCAGAAGTGGGGGCCCCTCCTCCAGCCAGGCCTCTGCCATCCCTGCCCACTCTCCAAGGTTTATCTGATGACAACACCGGAGCCTTGCCCAGCCTGGACACAGGCAACTCCTTTCAAGATGTCCTCATTCTACCTCCTCAGCTGCTCACTCTTCAATCCCCACCAGAGAAGTGCCTAGAACAGGTGGATAAACTACCATCAGGTAAAAACCATGAAGTTTGCATTAAACAAGGAAAAAAAGAAATTTGTCATCAGACAGATCATTAGAGGTGATATTTATTAGGTGCCAAGCACTGTGCTGAGCTTTTTAAACACATTCTCTCACCCCTGGAGGGAAACATTACATGCACTTTACAAATAAAGAAACGAAGGCACACAGAGTATTAGTCACGTGCCCAAGGATCACAAAACTACTCAGCGGATGGAGAATCCTGACCACTCAACTGCTCTGGTATACTGTCACAGCAGATTTTCTTTGCAATATGCCGAAAGTTTTAGGCGGAATCAGGTGGCAATTACTTCTCAGGAATGAAGAGAGAGGGGCTGAGCAGTTCTTTAGCACTGCACCCAAGTGAATTTCCACTTCACTTTTAAATCTAAACCAATCCCAGATAAAAAAGACAACCACCTGCATCAAAGTATTTTCCTTCACTATTTTTAGCTGGATGTAAAGATGTGAAAAGTACCATTGATTTCTAATCTGAGACACAGAAAGTCCCACAACCTAAGGCTTATACCACCGGAGCTTAAGTTCTATTTGGTAGCCATATTCTCGGGATGGGGGAGGGGGAGGAGTGTCATTTGGATCCCAGACACCACTGTGCCGTCTGAAAACATGTAAGAGGCAAAACAAAATCAAAACCTAAAGACTGGGAACATCTAGGGTGGAGGGAAATGTGGCGCCAAAATAAATCCGCAGGACAAGTTACCTATGAAAGTGAAGGGGCAGGGAACCCCTCCCTCAGGTCAGGGTAGGGACTAGAAGCCCCTCCCCAACACGCCCCCACCTCAAAAGCACATGCCCTGCAAGACCCACCATGACCATGACAACTCCAGAGATTCCTGGGATCACCCCAGGGGCAACTGCTTCCCAGGGCCTTCATGGGGTTAGTGACCTGTCACCCAAATGATACACTTGCTGGTCCTAATAACCCTTGGAGTCCACCCAAGTCTGCCACTCTCTCAGGCCTCTTGAGAACTGCCCCCAAAAGAGTCACTGGATCAAAATCAAGACAAAATTATTTTGCTTTTTAGCTGCGTTCCAAAAGCTACTCTCCATCCTCACTAGTCCTCAAACTTTGAGGTGCCTCCCAAAGTTTAATGTGCATATGAAATCAATGAAGAAGTTTAAATGCAGATTCCAGGGCACACCCCTGCAATCTGCTTTGGTATATTTTGGGTTTCTGTATTTAAATAAGCATCAGATGATTTGAATAAAGGTCCCAAGACACACCGTTATCTGGTTCCTTTCGGCAGGTGCTTTTTCCACCAAGTGCCGAATTTTACTTCCTTTTCTGTTTTGCCGAAGGCTTGAATCAGTGACCCACACAGAAGTTACTCAATCTGTTTGAAAGGGTATAAAGTTCACACACTTCCCCCTACGCACTACTATTAGAAAAGGGGGGGTTATTTATACTGGAACAAACTGGCTAGGAAAAAAAAAAAAAAAAAAAAGGTCATCAGGAGAAAGGCCAGAGAGGAAGAAAGTTAAGACCAGGAATGGGATGCCTGTTCTCTAGGAACAGTATTCTTTTCTTGACTACTACTGCTTTCTAATTATGGACGTTTTCTCATACCATTTGTTTGCAGCGAGCTGGTTTCAAAGAAAAATGTGGCAACGATGGCTAGTAGCTGTCTAATGTCCGTACTAGAGCGGGAGCTCTATGGGCCATGGCCACGCTCATCCTATACTCCCAGAAGCCTGCTCGGTGACTGGCACATAGTAGGTGTTGAATAAACAGGCGCAGAGGAAATGGAACCTCTGGTTTCTAACAAATGCAAACCAAGCCGTCCCTTTCTCCCTCAAACCAAAACCCAGGTGCTATTTCTTCCCAAATCTACAAACCGCATTTTTAAAAAGTAAGATGCCTGCGGCCCGCCGCTGCCCGGGAAAGCTCCCACTCTCGCCCCTTCGCCAAGACCTGTTTTGCCAACAGTGGCCCCCTCTGCCTTCCCGCTCCCTGGGCGTGCTCGCCTGGAAATTTTAACCAGCACCCTTGCCAAGAGCGAGCAGTCAATCTGAACACGAATAAAAACTGATTACAATCTGGGTGAAGGAGCCAGTTGCAGAAAAGGCACCTGACACCCTCTCCGCGTCCCAAACCTGGTAGGCAGGGGCTTGCTAAGAGGCCTCCGCCGCCGTCCTCTCCCGGGATCTCCTAAGCGATCCCGCCCACCGCTACTGCCCTCAAACTCCAGCAAGTTGCCGCCAGTAGCGGAGGGGCTCCGCACGGAACCCACCGGTCCAGGGTCGCACCCACCCCGGATCTCACCCGTGGGCCCCTGCGGCCCATCAGGCGCGGCCCACCGCTGGCCGCTCACCTTCGTCCGGCCCCCCGGCGCTCGCCACCGCCAGCAGCTGCGCCAGCGCCAGGAGCAGCACCAGCAGGCAGGCTTTCCGGGGCCTCATCGTGGCAGTGCGCAGCGCGGCCTCCCCACGCCTTCGGCCCCTGGGCACTCCCGGAGCTCGGGCCCTCGCCTCGCGAGCGAAACCGGAGGGAAAGCGAGAAACCCCCCCAGGAAGTCCTCGCCGGCGCTCGGCTGGGGGCGGGGAACCCACCGCCCGGCCAATCCCAAGCGGACTGGAGGCACGGGCCGCGTGCGCCTCGCTGCGCGTCGATACACCGCGGCGCCGCCCTCCTCGCCGGCCCTCCTCCCCGTCCTCCTCCGCGCGCCCCGCGGCTCGCGCGTTTAAAGCTCCGAGCCCTAACGTGAGGTGCCCCCTTCTGATTGGCTGCGCTGCAGCCACCAATCAGCGGCTGCCACTCGGTTTGCCGGGAGCGCACAGGCTGAGAGAGGGAGTGAGGAAGAACAAAGGCGGCGGGCCGGGGCCAGGGGGGCGGGGCCGGGCTGCGCATTGGGGCGCGATTGGCCGTCGGCGCGCTGGGCGGGGTGGAACCTGGGAATGTGGGGCGGGGCGGGGCTCCCGGTCCCTCCGCGGAGCTTGGCAGGAAGAACACGTGTCCTTAGAGGAGCTCCAGGGAGAAGGGCAGTTCGTAAAACCAGCCCCATAAGAGGAGGGTTGAGGTCGAAGCAGCAGAGGGGACTGAGCCAGTTCTGTTAATGGGAAAAGAAGGGAAAGTGGCTCTTGAGTCTGCTCTTTGTTCGTGGGCTTCTCAGTTTTTGTGTGTGTGTATGAGCAAATAAAAGTTTGCATTTTTCCCCCTGGGTTAAAACATATTGAGCTGGGGAGCGGGGATGAATATGCAGTAAAGGTAATCCAGACCTAAGAGTTCTGGAAGCTGCTCCCCACGGTTTCATCTGCGAACAGACCATCAGTTGCTTGTCCAAACTTTGTCTCATGTTGTTTATTGCTCTTGTGATTTTCAGCAAAGGTGCAATACCAGGTAGGCAATCTAGTGGCTTACATATATCTAAATATGGTCCAAGTTTTCCCTCTTGACAACTGAAAAGAAGAAAATTAGGTTAAAATAATTTTTGTAAAAAAAAAAAAATAATTTTTGTATGCCAAACCTGTGGTTTGAGATTTCTTCCACATGTGAGGATTAGTATGCCCAAAGAATTAAAGAAGACAAATTGGGGAGGGGAGAGGACTGTAGTCCAGGAGAATTTTTCTGTGTATACAGATTACGTTAGGAAGAAAGAAAGCTGGCTACTTACAGGCTTTATCATTTAGACCATTTTAATTTAAAAATTTTTATTGAATTCCTATCAATCTGATGGTTCTCTCAATTTTGTAGGGCAGAAAGACATTCTGCAACTAAGTATACACTGAGTGACTTATTAGAATGCTATTATTGTAGAATATTGAATAATTCAATATCATTTTATTTTTATGTATTTTTTAATTCCAGTATATTGAACAGTGTTGTATTAGGTGTATAATATAGTAAATCAACAATTCTATACACAACATGATTCTCATCACCTAGAGCCCACCCAGAATTTTTGTCTTTCATGGCAATTTTCTACAGATCTATATTTTAAAGAAGTTTTTTCAATGTTTACTTTTGAGAGAGAGAGAGAGACAGAACATGAGTGGGGGAGGAGGGGAGAGAGAGAGAGAGAGAGAGAGAGATGAAGACACAGAATCCGAAGCAGGCTCCAGGCTCTGAGCTGTCAGCACGGAGCCCAGTGCAGGGCTCGAACTCACAAACTGCGAGATCATGACCTGAGCTGAAGTCCGATGATCAACCAACTGAGCTACCCAGGCACCCCTCTATAGATCCATATTAAACTGAGAGGAAAGAGAGCCCCATGTGCCTGGATGTGGGACAAATACAACCAATTTCACTAAGAATCTCTATTGACACAAGGTATGAAAGGAAACGTTTCAAAATGCAGTATGAACATCTGTGTGTGTGTGTGTGTGTGTGTGTGTGTGTGTAGTCAGTATCACATTACTTGTGAAACTAAACACATTCCTTTTTTATTTTTTTTTTTCAAAAAAATAATTTTTTTTTTTTGACAGAGAGAGACAGAGCATGAACGAGGGAGGGGCAGAGAGAGAGGGAGACACAGAATCGGAAACAGGCTCCAGGCTCTGAGCCATCAGCCCAGAGCCCGACGCGGGGCTCGAACTCACGGACCGCGAGATCGTGACCTGGCTGAAGTCAGACGCTTAACTGACTGCGCCACCCAGGCGCCCCCACATTCCTTTTTTAAATGTTTACTTATTTTTGAGACAGAGAGAGACAGAGCACAAGTGGAGGAGAAGAGAGAGAGAGAGAGAGAGAGGGAGACACAGAATCTGAAGCAGGCCAGACTCTGAGCAGGCCAGACTCTGAGCTGTCAGCACAGAACGAGATGCGGGGCTCAAACTCACAAACAGAGATATCATGACCTGAGCCAAAGTCGGATGCTTAACTGACTGAGACACACAAGGGCCCCTAAATACATTCTGTTTTAAAGCATTTGTAGTATAGGGGTGCCTGGGTGGCTCAGTGGGTTAAGCTTCCATGTCTTAATCTCAGTGTTGGGAGTTCAAGCCCCACACTGGGGAATTCATTTCCACAAATACCTGCTTATTCAGCCAGATATTGTAACCAGAGATACACCTGTGTGTAATTTCCTATCCTACATTTTAAACTTAATATTACATTATAATCATTTTTCCCATACTGTTATCTTGTCTTCCTAGAGAACTGTGCTTTCTCTTGAAGGGTCTGCCTTTAACTAAGAAGATGAGAGATGGAGAAGAGGTCCTGGGCCCACACTCAGGACGCTGTTAGTTGCCTGAGAAAATACCCACCATACTCCTTCAATTCATTCTGTGCATTGTTAGGACACTGTACTTAGATTCTATCATTGCATTTTAGGGTATAACGATATTTCAGCAGCTGCAGATGAGACTGCTTTTGATATGTTTCAAAATAGGGAAACATTCACACATGCAGGTGTGGCCAACCATTGAAAGTAAGGCCAAGTTGACATTTTTTTTGGCAGGAGGTTGTCTGTGACAAGACATTCTTTCCAAGTTTACAGAAAGAGGTAACTGGCACAGTTATTTCTTGGTTAAGCCAATGGTCTTGGCCACTATTTCTCATTGTTCCAAGGTGAAGGAATTCTTAAGATGGTTTAAGAGTCAAACTAAGATTATTCCCTTAGTATTTAAATTTTGCTGTCACCAAATGCTAGAAGGTTCCAGGCATTTGGTAGCTGTTACTAAAAAGACATTACTGGTATTTGTGGAAATTAAACAGTAAGAGTTAGGGGTGCCTGGGTGGCTCAGTCAGCTGGGCATCTGACTTTGGCTCAGGTCATGATCTTGCGGTCTGTGAGTTCAAGCCCTGCATCGGGCTCTGTGCTGATAGCTTGGAGCCTGGAACCTGGTTCGGATTCTGTCTCCATCTCTCTCTGCCCCTCCTCCACTCTCACTGTGTCTCTCTCTCTCTCTCAAAAATAAAATAAAAACATAATAAATAAATAAACAAACAGGAAGAGTTAAATTAAAGATATAATAAGTTTATATTACAGACAAAAACTACTGTATTTGTTGTGAAAGGGTAGGAGTAGAGGCTCTGGAGTTATATTACATGGTCTTGAGGTTAGACCCGACCACTTTATTCACTCATTCAATATTTATTAAGTACCTACTATGTGCCAAGTAGTTATCAGTGTGCAATCTTCCATGTGCTTTGTAATATTTTATGCTATTTTAAAGTACATTTTATTTTTTTATTTTTTTATTTTTTTTAATGCTTATTTATTTTTGTGCGAGAGAGACAGAGCATGAGTAGGGGAGGGGCAGAGAGAGGAGACACAGAATCTGAAGCAGGCTCCAGGCTCCGAGCTGTCAGAACAGAGCCTGATGCCGGGCTCAAACCCACTAACCGTGAGATCATAACCTGAGCTGAAGTTGGACACTTAACTGACTGAGCCACTCAGGTGCCCCCAAAGTACATTTTAAAAATTTCAAATTCCTACTGTTCATTGCAAATATATGGGAGTACAATTGATTTTTTGTATTGACCTTGAAGAATGCAGCCTTACTAAACTCACAATAGTTTTGGTAGCTTTGTTGTAGATTCCATTGGATTTTCTACATAAATCATATCCTCTGTGAATAAAGACAGTTTACTTCTTTTTCATTATAGATGCCTCTCATTTCTTTGCCTTTCCTTATTCCACTGGCCAGAACCTCCAGTACAATGTTGGAAAGAAGTAGTAAGAGTGAATATCCTTGTCTTGTTCCCGATTTTAGGGAAATAATTCAGCCTTTCCCATTATAGGATGTTAGCTATAGATTTTTAGTAGATGCCCTTTATCAGGTTGAGGAAGTTCCCTTCTGATTTCTAGTTTCCTGGAAGTTTTTTGTTTTTTAATTAGGAATGGTTTTTCTTCTTTAGTCTTTTCATATAGATTATTATATTGATTTTCTTTTTTTATGTTTATTTTTGAGAGAGAGAGAGAGAAAGTACAAGTGGGGAGGGGCAGAGAGAGGGGGACACAGAGGATCCAAAATGGGCTCTGCACTGACAGCAGAGAGCCCGATGCTGGGCTCGAATTCATGAACCACAAGATCATTACCTGAGCCAAAGTCTGATGCTTAACCAACTGAGCCACCCCGGTGCCCCAATATAGTGATGGATTTTCAAAAATTAAACCAACCTTGCATTCCTGAGACAAACTGCACTTGGTCATGATGTATTATCATTTTTACATATTGTTGGATTTCATTTACTAAAATTTTATTGAATTTATACATCTATGTAAAAGGGATATTTTTGATGTCACATAATGTTGGCCTCATAGAATTAATTGGGAAGTGTTTGCTCTCAGTTTTTTGGAAGAGTTTTGATATATTTTTCTTTCTTAAATGTTTGATAAAATTCTCTAGTGAAGTTTTCTTTGTGGGAAAGATTGTAAGCATAAATTCAATTCCTTAATAGACATAGGGCTATTCAGGTTTTCTATTTCTTCTTGGGTGAGCTTTGATAGTTAATGGGA